TGGTGTTTAACTTGTGCATGATCATTGATTTGTCAACCATAAATTGATAGGCCTATATTTGATCATAATAGCTAGATAATTGGTAATCACTATAATCTATCCATTAGAAATCAACCATAGGAGAAAGTGAAATCGGATCTAGGTAGGAGTATTCTTTTAATTCTTGAAGTTACTTTGTTTTTGTTGCTTGCTTACTTCTTAGAAATATAAGCTATTATGGTCTTGAAAAATTAGTAAAAACCCCCCAAATCATAGTCTGTTTCATAGTGTAATTAGTGGTAGTAAATTTATTTAATTGAATTCTGTTCCTGTCATCGACACCGGACTTACCTGACCTATACTATAATCTGACTAGGTACATTGCCTATAGGTGCATAGTTAATAAGTGTTCGTTAAGTTATAAATTTTAAACTAGTAGGTACTTTTGTGCACATCAAAGTTTTTGGTGCCGTTGCCGGGGAACGACTTATTTGGTGTATAATTTAATTGCTTTTAATTATTTGATCCTTTTTGTGGGGTAAAAACTGCAAAAAGTTACTTTGGTTGCATCATTTAATTTTAGTTTTTTTTCTCTAAGATGCAACCACCTCGTGGTCTCGCTTTAGTTAATATATTAGTTTAGTGATTTTTATTCCTTTTACACGTTTTTGTTTTTGGTTTTGTTTTGTTTCAGTGATTTATGACTTGAGGATCTAAAACTACAATTGTTCCTCCACTAGAAGATCTGGAATCCACTTTCCACAACAAGAAAGATAAGAAGGGCGAATCGAGCAATACTTTCAAATCCGAAAAATTCGAACTTTTCAAGAGGACACCTGATAAAAAAAAGTATATGATACGAGCCAGAAACATCTACCGAAGAGATTTCAGAAGAGTATGAGGTAAAGAGCGAGGTTGAAGAGATGGAAGGCATTACAAGAATGATGATGGGCGATTACAAGAAGAGGATACGTGAAGAACATGGATTGGGTCTAGTTCCACCCGAGATACAAGCCGATAGAAGTTTTGAGCTCAAAGGGCACATTTTATCCAAACTGAAGGTCATAGCTTATGTCGGGAAAGAGTATGAAGATGCTTTTAAGCAAATTCATGAGGTCAAAGACATTAGACACTACTTTCATGTTCCTAATGTGCCAAGAGAATCTATGTTACTAAGGATGTTTCCTGTGACTTTTACCGGTGAAGCCAAGGTTTGGTTGAAGTCTCTTGCACTCGGATCCATTACTACATGGGAAACTCTTCGTGATGCTTTTATTTAGAAATTTATTCCACCTTCCAAGATTTCAAAGCTTAAAAGGGAAGATTGCTAACTTTCAACAAGTGGTTGAAGAATCATTGTATGAAGCATAGGAAAAATACAACGGATTGTTTAGAAGTTTCCTCAATAGGATGTTAATGTTCAACAAGAAGTTTCTATTTTCTATGACAAACTCAATGTAACTACTATAAAACTTCTTCACTCGCAAAGGACAATGATGAAGAAGGAGCCGACAACTATAAAAGAATTAATTGAAGAATTTGCAAAGCACTCACGTGAGTACCACAACTCACGAGATGATGTCACTAGAAGAAAAGGAGATGGAGGGAATGGGATTTTGGTTGCAATCATAGCTAAACTAGATACTATGGATATGCGCATGGCAAAATTGGGTCAATCAATCCATGTGATAAGATTTGGGTGTGATAATTGTAGTGGTCTACATTTGACTAAGGATTGTGACTTGGATGAAAATAGGAATAAAAAGGCACAAGTGTTCTACTCAAGTTGTGAGAAGTATGATGAAGATTGGAGGAAGCCCAAGAAGGAGTGGTTTCCATATGAAGAGTACAAGAAGCTAAAGGATGAGAAGTATAGACAAACTGGTAGATGATTCTATCAAAAAGAGCAACCACCACCCGGAAAGAAGAAGGATTTTGAGCCGGTACTTCATAGATATATGGAAACATATGAAAAAATACATGATACTACTGATGTCAATGTGAGAAATCATCAAGATTCCATCAAGAATATAGAGACTCAACTAGGTCAACTTACCACACATGTCAATGAAAGATTACCACCTAAAAATCAAGACCCTAAGTTACAACCTCATGTCATGGCGATATACACTGAAGAAGAGGTTCATTCTGAGCCAATTATGACCCATGAAGCAACTACAATACAACCTAAGTCGTGTTTGGAACAAGAGAATCCCGAAGCAAAAGGATTAAAAAGTGAAGTGCACTCTGATGCTTCACCATGCCGTGGTATCAAGAGAATGATTTTTTTCTTCTTAATTCATTTAATCCTCCTTTTCCATTCCCATCTCAAGTAATCAAACACTCTATGGAACTCGAACAAAGGAAATTTATGGAACAAGTGCTCTCAATCTCGATTAATGCCCTATTCCTCAAATCAATGGATAAAATTCCAAAGTTTTCAACAGATGTTATGACAAATAGAAAGGAGTTGGAAAGAGGTGCAACAATAGTTCTTAATGAGTTGTGTTCAATTGCGATTATCAAAGGATTACCGATCAAGATGGGAGATCCAGGTCAACTCACCTTGCCTTGTGAACTTGGCAACTGTATTTTTGTTAATGCTTTAGCCGATTCGGGGGCAAGCATTAGCCTCATGCCATACTCTTTCTACCAATAACTCAGATTTCCAAAGCTCCAAGACATAAGGACAACCATTCAAATGATGGGTCACTCGACTACATGCCCATGAGGAATCATTGAAGACTTACTAGTGAAAGTGGGAAATTTTTTTCCGGTCGACTTTATGGTTCTTGACATGAAGGAATATGAAGAACATCCAAGTATTTTAAGAAGACCATTTTTGAGTACCGCCAGAGCATAAGTTGACATCCCGGATTCTAAGCTCACACTTTGTGTGGAAGATGAAGCTATTACCATTGAGATGAGTCCAAAAGTGAATAATGAAAAACCAAAAGATTAAGTGTCAAAGGTAGATGATATGGAAGAAGATCTTGATGAGCTTGTTGAAATAGAGAAGATGATGTAAGAAGAGTTGAAGATTTGGGAGGAGCTTATTTTTGAAAAAGTAAAACATTCGAAACCAAGAGCCTCAATTCCTATGACATTTGAGGTGATCTCTTTTACTACACCTAAGGTTCTTTAGAAAGAAGAAATCGATGAAGTGGAAGAGAATTTATAGGAAGAAGTGGAGATAACTAATAAAGACAAGGGTAGGGACATAGAGGAGCCAACTATGGTCCAAATGGAGGTAGACAAGGAAGGAACTAAGGAAGATAACAAGAAGGTAAACAAGGCAAAGAAGCAATGAAAAGGGATAAAGCGTAAACATGAGGAAAATGCCAATAAAAAGAAAAAGCAGAATTTAAAGAACGTGTACAAGAGAAGAGTTCAAGCTTACATGAGAAATTTGAAGGAGGAAAAGGAGAAAAGGGAGATCCCACTCCCAACCGCAAAAATGTATAGTAGGAAGGAGTCTGGGTCACGACTCCTAAAAAACAAGCACTTTTAGGGAGGTAACCTGATTTTTAGAGTTTGAAATTTCTTTTAATTTTGATTTCCTTTTTCTCTTTTAGCTTTATTTTCGTTTTATTTTTCACTTTTAGCTTAACCACTTAATCATGTGTTTCTCTAGTCTTCTACATTTATTTTGTAGCGAGAATGAAAGATACTTGACACGGTGAAAGAGCTTAATGGTTGAAAACTCATGCTAGTTTTGAAAATCATAATTGAAAACCATGTTTTTTTGAGTAAGTGTGGGGTTCCCACATGATGAAGAGAAGTGCATTTTGAAGAATATGTACTGGAAGAGAATATTAGGAATGTTCTTCGAATTGTCTGTGTAACAACCATGATTTTCCAACCAATTTAAACTTTTCAAAAAAACAACCCAAATCCATTAATTATTACAAAAAGGTTTTCAGTTTGTTTATTATCAGAGCATCCCAGAAACATCATTGTAAAAATGAGGAGCGGTACAATCACGCACTACGAGAAAAACAGCATTTTACGACGCGCATTTATGGCACGCATTTACGACGCACAATTATGACACACAATGCGTATCAAGAAAGGCCCTATCATAAGGGAATACGACACGCATTTGCGTGTCGTAGCCTTACGATGCGTGTGTTTATGACACGCAATGTGTATCAAGGAAGCCACTGTCATAAAGGAAGACGACACACATTTTTGCATGTCATAACTTTAAATGTTTTTAAAGTTATATATTTTTGATAGATTTGCTAATTTTCAAATTAAATAACAATTTAAAAGTCTCATAACAAAAAATAAAATACCATAAACAATAAAGATAATTCATTGCATTAATATGTCAAATACAAATAATCATTCTAATAGTAAGTAAACATAACACATTGCTAATATTGCATAATATTAATTATTGAAAACAAAACATGTACATCATTTAAAGAAACCCGTGACTAAATTCTCCTTTGAAAATCTCCTTTGACAATTTTCTTTCTAAGAGAATAACTTGAATGCAAGAACTTTGTGAGGCAGCAGGGCATGGATTGCTAGAGCTGTCAGAACCTGCACAGGGCAAATCAGTAACTTAACATGCTATTATGGACATTAAGTTTGGTCACATGGGGGATCTTTTTAGGCATGGTGAAGGTTACAGCTTCAGGTGTCTTTATGGGCATTTTGGTCACATCGGGTCTTTTTTGGGCATGGTGAAGGTTTCAAATGCAGATGCCTTTATGGGCATTTTAGTCACATCAGGTCTTTTTCCAGGCATTGTGAATTTTTTGGTTTGAGGTTCAAAAAAATAAACAAGGAGTGTTCAACTAGATGGAGTTTTACATATTTGTTTATGTTCAGTTTTATTATAGTTTCACATTCTTATTGTAGCTACACTAGTTGGAGAGGGGGGCTGAACCAACAATACTCATGTATTAATCAAACAAAGATGAAGGAATATGAAAATATGGGTAAGAAAGCAGTTACCTTCCATTGACGTCCTTTCCGATATTCCTTAGAAAGGTAAATTCATTATATAGTCATGGGTGTTGGGTTCGCAATTGGGGCAAATAGATTGGGCAGTTGTGATTCATCAGTTCCAAAAATGGCAACTTGGTTGTGGCAAACTGGATGCCACCTGATTATACACAATTAAAATCAAAATCAAATGTTAATTGGTGGCAAGTGGAGAAAATGATTATTAGAATATTAAGTAAGTGAATAAATTACTTGATGTGATGTTAGGGCATAAAGCAACAAGCATTCTTGTTAGGGTTTCAGGGTATACATTGCACATCATTCCAATACCACAGTTGCTTATGCTAGACCTGTAATTAACAGAAACCTCATATGCTTTTTGTTGTTCATGTATTTTCTGCCATTAAACACAACATCATGACTCATAAGCAAATTAAGAAATACAAATATATACGAAAGATGAGAAGCATTATATCAATTTGCAGGTTTTAACACTACTTAATATACAAGTTTGTAAAAGTAGCACACGATCGCACATACAAGTTTAGACTAACAAGCAAAAAGATGTTTGACGATTTTAGTTAAAAGGATGATGACATAAAGGAGTATAAGTAATCAAACGTAGCAAAAAATTCATGAGCAATTATTTAACTTATAAAAGCAAAGCAAAGCATGTTAGTAAAAAAGTAAAATAAATGATATAAAGAAAGAGAAAATAGTTGCTAGGCGTTCGACTATGATGCGAGATAGCATCCCAATAAGTGTGTCTGTATTTAGACTCCTCTCATGAGCCTCATCCAATATTATGGTTGAGTATCGCTTCAACAAAAAATCATTCTACAACATAAAAGATTATGTCAACAAATTAAATAGAGACTTTGGCTTTTTTTATTTGTTTTTTTGTTGAGGAAGGGTAGGAAACCTTTAATTCTCGAAGTAATATTCCATCAGTCATTCTGAACAACAAGGAGCTCCAGTTTTAATCTGACCATGTTTCACACACAAACTCCCATGATAAATATCATTTATAAGTTATAACATAACAAAACACTACCTCAAATTCTGCTAAAAATATTAATTAATATTATTACCGTTGACAAGCCAACTGAAAGATCTGCAACAAAGTTGTATGATAACTTAAAACTAAATTATATAAATTAACTTACATCTAAGAAACAGCCGCTGCTCCCAACTCTTATGTCTCTCTCACACACACACTACCCCTTTATCTTTCACATACTTGATATGATAGATAACATTTATTTTAAAATGATAACTTATTAATATGTGATTATGTATCCTTCAAAAAGACACAAAATGCATTCGATTAAAGGGTAAAAACTTACTTGTGGAAGGTCTTTGTACCTTAATAGTAACCAAATCCCCATTTTCCTTTAATCTACCCTTATCACAAAGCTTTTGATTATGCTCATATTGTCTTATTGTTTAAATGAAAGTAGGATGCTAAAAAAATTCTTTTTTAATATATATATATATATATATATATATATATATATATATATATATATATATATATATATATATATATATATATATATATATATTTGTTTTGAAGGGATGGGATCGAGCACTAACCATGTTGAAAAGTGGAGACAATGAAAAGTGAATATATATATATATATATATATATATATATATATATATATATATATATATATATATATATATATATATATATATATATATTCACTTACTTTTGTTCTCATCTTTTCAAATTTGTTGTTATCAAGGGGATCTGGACTTGGAGCTTGTTCTTCCTGGATAGGTGACTCATCTGCTTCTTCATCTAAAGTAACTTCAAGAGGAGGAACAAAATCTTCATCTTCAGATGCATCAGAATTATGAATTTCTTGTGTTTCCATATCAAAATATGATCCCTTCATTCCTAAAGAGATTCTTTGTCTCTTTTGATCAGCCTAATCACAAATTAAAAACAGAAATATATCAATTGACAAGCCAAGGGTATATTAGACAACAGGGCATCAATTTGACCAGATCAAGGTAGCCTCAATTTGGTGCTTCATATTTCATAAACCATATCAGTAAGAAGACGGCTGCAACAATGTAGTCTTATACAACTATACGTTTATCGAGTATGAAGGTTTCTGTGCATTAACATTGTTCTTTGACTTAGGAAGCAACTCCGGAGGTTGCAAACAAGGGCAATCACCTTCACAATAATAATCAACAAAAACATTTCATCACTTTTAATAACTAAACAAACAATAGTTAATTACATTTTTGGTCCCCTGATTTTTGAAAATTTGGTCCTTATTTGAGGTTTTTGGTATTTGTTTCAAGAAAATGATTATATTTTTGGGGCCAAAGTTGAAAACAATCAGGTATTACTTGGAACAAGGACCCAAAAAGTTATAAGAACCTCAAAGGATGGCCAAAACTGCAAGAGAAAACTTTAGAGGACCAAATGGGGATCAATTTTAAAAATTATATCACCAATAGATGCTATTTGTAATAGCTTCAGATTTTCTAATTTCTTTGATAAAACCAAACACATAATATGTATTTTAGCCTTTTTTTGCCACTGTTGAATAAATATTCGAAAACATGTTTGAATGAAAGGAGTAGAATTAGAATAAGATATCTTGATATTAGATGAAGGTGCAGGTAAATGGTCTTGGATCATTTCTTTTGATACAAACCCAAAGCCACCTGTCCATCCCTCCGGTGGCTTCACAAATACAAAACTAGGCCCTTTATTTTAATTTATATTTTATAATAAACCCAAAAGTTATTAGGTTTAATTCAATGCAACAAACAGGTGGAAGAAGGACTGATTTGCGAAGAATTAGAACAGGTGGAAGAAGGATGTAACATACCAGAAGGTGTGGGAATGTAGTGGGGAAGAAAGAAGCCAGAAATAGAGTAGACGATGAATCCAAAGGGTCAAAGATGGGGGGTTTTGGAGGCAAACTCGACTGATTTACGTTTCTTGCAGACAACATTTGATAGTACCGATAACGACCCCACTCTAGGGATGCCGTATCTTCCCTCCCTTTAGACGCATTAAAATAAATACATCATAATTTGAAACAAAAAATAAGTCATTGAAAGAAAGTTATTTACATAATTACCTAACATCTGGATTAAGAAGGGAAGAAGCAGAGGGAATATTAGTTCCATGAACGGAATTGGAAGAACCAAGAGCTGAAGGAGCGGGACCGGGACCAGATCCAAGAAGCATAGGTGGTCAAGTATTGTGATTCAGAACTGGTAACCCACTCAGACCTTGAAAACAAACCAGAACAACATCTGGGTTCGATGAGATTGGTTCGGATAGTTATAGAGGCCTATTTCTCTGCCGAACATGAAGCCATACCTAAGAAGGGGATGATTATGAAGAAAAACATCGGGAAAGTTGGTGCGGGTTGGAGGTAGTTGAGGTGGGTATCAGGCGGGGTTTTAGGGTTTGTTCTGATCGATGTAGATTTTAGGAACTTCAAGTATGAAATTATCGATGTTTTACAAACAATGCTTTTAGGGTTTCTTTTGATTGAAGGGATTTTACGTACGAAGAAGAAGAAGGACGAGAGTATCAAGGTGAAGGCGGGGCTTTTTATTTTTTTGGATCTAAAACTGTCGCTTTATATTTTTTTTATGAACTCGCGTTCTCTAAAACCGTCGCTTTTTTATGATAAGTGCCTTCCGTATTTTTAATTTTTTTGTGTTGGACACTGTTTTTAGGGCACGCACAAATGCGTGTCTTCTATCTTTCAAATTTTGCAAAACTGACATTATTATTTAGGGCGTGAACAAATGCGCGTCCTCTATCAGCGAGTGTCATTGTTTGCGTGTCATTAAAGGGTTGTTTTCTAATAGTGACGCGTTCTCCTTGCCATGATCTCCTGAAGTACCTGAAAAAAAAAACTAAAACTATAAGCCCGAAAGCTTAGTGAGTTACCCCAGAATACGAACCACATATAACCATACTCATAACATGTCGCAATACAGATCAGCCATGCATATCGAGTCTACAGGGTGTTTGGTCCGCCAGCACCGAGTCTTCAATCTACCTGGTCCACTCTCTGAGTCTATAGTATGACTGGTCCACCCATACTGGGCCTTCAGTCGGTCTGGTCCACTCTTCGAGCCTCGGTACATTTGGACCGCCCTCTTGGGGCCTTCAGCCTATCCAGACCGCTCGCTGGGCTTACGGTCTATCCGGTCTGCCCTGGGTATGTTGGCCTACAGCACACAAAGTAGGACCTGCCTCAACCCAACCCCAGTCAACAACCATGTGCACATAAAACAGTTAATCACATAACAATCCTCAGCGAAACAAACGGTTCAATCAGATCATACAACATAACAACATCCTAACAAGGATACCGACCTAACCGGTCACTAACATAACATTACCCTATATACCAGGATAACGACCTTAACCAGGTCACTAACATAATACCATCCTAATACCAAGATGCAGATATAGCAACTCAATAACATATTAAACAAATACCTGGATTCCCATCCGATAAAGGGCCGACCTTGGTCAAACTGGTCAAAGTTATCAAAGAACCATTGACATAAATATCCGAATTACCATAATACCCCCCAAAGGTGAAACTGGTCAAAGGCAACCTTCCTGATTGACCCTACTCGCCGAGTCAACCCATTGACTCACCGTGTTCCTAAACTCAGGAAACTCTCATATCATGACTCGAATCGCCGAGTCACCCAATGACTCGTCGAGTTCAACAATCTTCGATTCCTATCCTATCCAACTCACTGTATCACCACTCAACTCACTGATCTGAGTCTTAACCAGAAGAGGTTAGGGGGTTTGCGCTATGTCTCTTCGGGTCCATGACAATCTTCATTAGACTCGCCGAGTTGTTCTTCTAACTTGCCGAGTCCAAGCTTATCATCTTGTGACTCGCCGAGTCCACCCATGCGATTCATCGAGTCTCTTTAGTCCTTCATCCATACAGAGTCTTTTCGAGCCATGCAAGGGCTCCAAACTCTAGATCCATTCTTCTAGGGTAGAACTCTCACGTAAAGTTGCAAACTTTACGTGAAAATAAAGAGCTAAAGGCCCAAATCAATCTAGGGCTAAGGTTTTAATACAATAATTCTCACAAGCATTCCAAGGCCTGATACTTTCCGACTATATGGACCAAAACAAGCCTAGCTTTGAAGTTGCAACCTCAAACCTAGTCCCTAAACCCGAAATGGATTCCAAACATGCTAAAAGGCCCCAAATCATCATCCAAGAATAGATCTAGAAGGGAAGAGCTCAAGGTAACAACTTGTTACCTTAGAAATGTGCCCAAGATGGAGTAGATTCAAGATCTCAACGAATCTATTGATGCTTTACACTTGATCTACAAGTCTCCTTTGCTAGAACCTCCTTCCAAAGCTTTCAAGCTCACTCCAAGGGTTTACACTCAATTTTAGGGTTCACTGGCTCTCAAGGGAAATATGGAGTCTGAGGGGAGGACATAAAGTCCTTTAAATAGGGTGCAAAACCTAAGATTAGGGTTTTCTTTTCCCATAACCAACTCATCAAGTCCAGCTGCCGACTCAGCGAGTTGGTCACTTAACTCGCATCCAAATCCCGCTCCGACTCGACGAGTAACCGCACTTACTTGTCGAGTAGCTCCCTCAACGTACACTTTAGACCCTTCAATCACACTTCTGAAATTTGGGATTTTACAGTCTGAAGCTGAAGAGACATTTGAGGATGCATATTTGGAGTTTGATCCTACATTTCCTCCCATGGAGAAATGAACGAGAGATCATCCCAAAGACCAAATCTTGGTAATCCTAGTTCGGGTGTTTTAACACGAGCACATATTCGAGCCAGTAATGAGGTTTTAAATGTTTATAAGGAAGTATGTGTGTTAATTGTCTTTACTTCAAAAATTGAACCAAAAACAATCAAGAATGCATTAGAATATCTTGATTGGGTTGTTGAGATGCAATATGAGTTGGCTGAATTCGAACGAAACAAATCTTGGAGGCTACATGCATTTTTTCTGATTCGAACATCTTGATTGGGAATTAACCTCCAAGATATGTTTCGTTCAAATTCAACCAACTCATATTGCATCACCACAACCCAATCAAGATGTTCTAATGCATTCTTGATTGTTTTCGGTTCAATTTTTGAAGAAAAGACAATAAACACACATGGTCTTAAATTTTGGTCCTAAATTGAAAAATAAAATGGAAAAAGAGGGTAATGGTGTACGAAACAAAGATATAATAGTCGTAAAAGGTTATTTTAAATATGAAGGAATTAATTATGAAGAAACATTTGCCCCTGTCGCAAGACTTGAGGCTATATGCATTTTTTCTGGCTTATACATCTATCAAATGGATGTTAAGTGCGCATTTCTCAATAATGTTCTTGAAGAGGTGGTATATGTCGAACAATCACCTGGATTCATAAACAATAAGTATCCGGATCACTATTATATTCTTGACAATGCAGTTTATGGGTTAAAACAAGCACCTCGTTCTTGGTATGTGATACTAACCAATTTTTTGAAAATCACTAAATTTAAGAAAGGACCAGTTAATCGCACTCTATTTCGAAAGAAAATGGGGAATCACCTAATTCTTGTTCAAGTTTATGTTGATGACATAATATTTAGTTTTGCTGATCCTTCGTTGTCATATTCTTTTGAGGATCTTATGAAGAGTCAATTTGAAATGAGCGTGACAGGAAAGATCAATCATTTCTTGGGATTAAATATCCGTTAAAACATGGAAGGAATCTTTATCAATCAAGAAATATATACATGAGACTTGCTAGAATGTTTTGGAATGACGAATTCCTCGAAAGCTAAAGTCCCCATGGTAATTGACACTCGCTTAAGTCCTTCATTGGATAAGCTAATTTTTGATCTCAAGACATTTAGGAGCATGTTTGGTTCACTATTGTATTTAATTACAAGTAGACCTGATATTATGTTTTTTGTATGTAATTGTACCAGGTATCAAGAGAATCCCAGAGAGCCTCATCTTACATCGGTGAAGAATATCTTTCATTACCTTCATGACACAACGACTCTTGGATTGTGGTATCCATCGAATATGTGATTCTTTATTCAAGATGGTTTAGAAGCTGATCTAGGAGGTTGCCAATTAGAACAGAAAAGAACAACATGCAAATGTCAATTCTTAGATGGGAAACTTGTGAGTTGGCAGTCGAAAACGCAGACATGTGTATCGATTTTGATAGTTGAGGTTGAATACATTACCGTTGCGGCTTGTACCTCTCAAGTGATCTAGATCTAAAGTCAACTATGTGACTATGCGATTAAGATGAAGAAAATTATACTTTATTGTGAGTTACAAAGTGGAATTCGTATATGTCATAATCCAGTTCAACATTCAAAAACTAAGCGTATTGACCTTCAATACTACTGGATCATCAACTAGATGATACTTTTACAAAATCACTAGATGAAAAACCATTGATAAGAATTTCAAATAGGTTGGGATTTATGGAAGCTTGTTATTATCCTAATTATGCCTAATCTTTCTTGAATGCGAAAATTTTGGGCTAACTTTCACTTGTTGTCAACATTTTTGTTCAGAGGTAACCGTTCCAGTTCAACGTTCGACTAACTTCGCATTCGACTTTGTCTCTGATTAGTTTAGCACATATTAACACCAAGCGAACGAGAAAATCCAGTCTATGGGACAACATTAGTTCGCATGCGACATATTTGTTCTCAACAACAAATAACCAATGTTGTTGATATCCTTTTATTATTTATTTATTTATTATTTTTTTTATAAAAATCAAAAATTCATTTTTTTATTTTTCGTTATAAAATTTAAAAAACCAAAAAGATTTTCTTTATTTTTTCCCTATCAAAATAAAATATCCAAAATATTTTCATTATGTTTGAAATTTATTTTTGCAAAATCAAAAACACAAAAATGTTTTCCTTATTTTTTAGATTGGGGAAGATCGTTATGATAATGTGTTGTTCTCATGCATGCCAAAAGCAAAACTTGATATGGAAGTGGTATGATATGAACCTTTTGTACAAGTTAAGTGTCCCTTGAAGCTTGCTACATCATGTTGTCCACAAGCCTCATAGACTCGTTGTGTACGAAGCCATAATGAAATCTTTCCTACGAATTTTTCTTCCCAATTAGGCTATATTCACAATAATCATAGAGCTACCTTTCTATTCTCATGTTGAGTAAAGAGATTACTGCAAGGTCCAATTATTCGCAGAGGTACAATTATTTTTGTATCCAATCTTTTTTCCCAAAATTTCTCACACATGCGCACACGATGACACATGCCCAAGACATCTCTAGTAAAAGACAAATAGGATATAGGTATGTCACAATTTTGTGTTTATAATCCTAAATCATTTTTCTGTGATGAAGGTGAGACCCAAAAAATCACAACTTTATGAACCGACAGCGAACATTTTATGCTCAAGATTCTAATGAAATTTTTTGTTACATTGTACCATTTTTGATGTCCAAAATCTCATTTTCATTTCCTTTGTGTGTTCTTGAAGGAATATTCTTATCCCAATTCATTTCGTCCTAATATATCAAACTTTTTTCAATGAAATGTGATTTCCGTATGAACATTAGTCTAAATCTTTTGTTATTTAAAAATTTTCCAAAGCTTACTTCATCTTGACTACACTGTTCATACAAGTATTTACATACAAGGATTTGCACTAATGCCAAGATGCAAATTCGTATGCAAATAAAGCCACCTATGAAACTTGTGAAAAGAGGCCCTTCGTTTCTACTCAATGACAATGAGTATATGATTATAAATCATAGGAAACAAACAAGCAATTTGACATCTCTCTTGGTGACGAATGAAGAGTATCTTTGCACATGATCTATTTGCTTTTATATCAAAGTTTATTTGATATCACTATGTGCAAATTGATTCTATATATTCTTTTGGCACACATAAGAACTAAACTCCTCGAGGTCATAGGTATAACCAAATGAGACCTAGATTTCGCATGTCTGAAAAATGATTTCCCTTACCATTCCCAAAAGTGAATGGGCCTTGCCTCCTCATCGACAAATGGTTCTTGTTTCCTGTCGAAATGAATAACGATTCCATTTTCTAAGAAGGAAAAAATATACGTTATATAAGACGATTCAATATTTTCTTGTGGATCAAGACAATAAGTGGTCATCATTATTACACGAGGCACTTGAGGGTGGTGATGGTTAACTAACCCACTTTATATGTGGCTTTCTCTGATTGGAACATTGTTTGAATTTCAATTTGACGTCGTTTATTTAAGGGATAAGTGATCATCCCGTTTCCTTTTTACGTTCCCAAAATTTACGCAAAGAACGTAAGTTTTATTTTCAATTCACTCTCAAATTCTCTCTCGATTGTTCATAATGGCTTCTGGAAACAATGAATTTGATCAATTCAACACCAATGATGAGGAAATTTCTCAACCAACAATGAAGAATCGACACAATAATCTTTGGTTCAACCCATTGATCAAGGATTATACCGATGAACTAAAGATTCTTGCTTAAGTGTTAAATGATTCGGTTCTTACTCATAGGTTAACAAATTTGTTTTCCATTCCTATGAAGTGGTTATCATTGGCTTCTTCTACTGGTGTTTTCAACAAAATGACTGAACTAGTTACGTTTAAGTTGACCTCGAACAAGACCAAACGATTCACGAAGAAGCAGTTTGCCCAAATTTTGAAATGACCATCTGCAGGTGAGTTTGATGAAGTTACAAGTGAATAGGTGACTCGTATGCTTAATGAGCTGAGGGATCAACCTACTCTTTCAATTATTAGTCATTTCAAGAAATTGAATTTGCGTGGAATATTTATTTTTTTCTTTGGAGTTACTCTATGATGTTTAACAGGCAGGAGTTCTTGTTTGGATAAAGTGAAGCTTAAGTTTTATTCGATTATGGTTGGTCTGTATTATGGTGTGAATGTTGATTATGCATCATAACCATGGGTTGACTTTGGTAATTTGATTTCCGATTCAAAGATGACAATAGCAGTTTTGAGTGCTAGGTTTTGGAGCTTTATTTTCAATGTAGTTGATACTCAAGAAGGTATTCCTTTACCTTCTGATGATAAAGTTGCTACATTTGATCCAATGGCAGTTCCTATGTCTCGTATTGATGATCCTATTGAATTTCCTGTGACTTGTCGAATTTCTGATTCGATGCTCAATTTCGTGTCTCACAAAAATGAGTTGTTAATCAAATATAAGGATTCAATGGATTCCACTCCAACAAGGATTCTTCCAAAGAAATTTATTTTTGAAGGAGCAGAGGGATCTTCTAAAGAAGCTAAAGGTACAAAAAAGAAGAAGCAGGCTGCAAATTGTAAAGCAGTTGAGGAGGAAGTGATCAAACAAAATGTGCCTACAAAGTCTGGAAAGGGAGTGCTCAAGAAGAGAAAGAAAAATGTTCCTAAAAAGAAATTATAGAAGCACACATAATCACAACCTACAAAACAATTTGAGAAGCAACTGGAGACACACACTAAGAAAGTTAATGAGAAGATTCCTACTCGTGTTGATGAAACCACCATGCAAGAAGGTGAAATTACTACTAAAAAGGTTGTTTCAAATAAATCTAAGAAACTATAGTTGAAGGTGACTAAACGAGTGGTTATGTTTAAAGAAGTTTTGGCTCCTGATTCTCCAGGCTCAAAGAAGCGAAAAGCATTAGAAGTAGTTCAAATGTTGAAAAAAATTTTAAACCTTCTTTTAAGGATACACAATTGGAGAAAGTTACAGTTGAAATAAATGATGTTAATGAAGAAACAAAAGATGATATAGATGGTTCATTTCGTATTTCACCTACAAAGGATACCTCTGTCCAAATTGACTTTCAAGGAGAAAAGTACTCCTGATGTAAAGGCGAACATATCTGATATGGACGCAAACATCAATTATGGTGAACAACCAAATACCTCACTCCCTGAGAAAACGAAAGTCATACCATCCAAGGTTTCACATTTTGAGTCCAATATAGAGGATGAATAAACTTCAAACATCTATGTGAACTTATCTAATAATGACAAAAATGTTAATATGAGTTATGGGAGAAAAATAATCGAAACTCCAACCAATGGTACTACAACCATGGAAACCACTTCTGTTCGACCACCACTAACACCTTCATCACCTCCTGTTACTTCTACGATTCTTCCTACTTCCACTTGTAGGGTCTCTCCAACTGTTAACGTAGTGATGCAAGACCTAGAGGAAGATGATGTGTCTGATAATGCAATTATTTCAGACAAACAATTCAAAATTCTCAACTCCAAGATGAATTCGATTTTACAATTTTTAAATGATAATGTTGGGAAGTCATTTGTTATTAGTGTTGAGGTCGAATATCTATTAAAAGCTTGAGATTTTCACACATATACTATTATTGAAGATGTTGAAAAGTGAATAGATGAAAATATGGCTACTCATTCTCGTACTTTCGATTACGAACTTACGAAATTACAAGATATTGGTCATGAGCGCCATGGGAATTTTAGGAAGATGGAGATTGATTCTAAAGCATCCAATTAATTGAAGATCAAATTGTTCAATGAGTTATTTTCAAAGGAGGTTAAGAAGCATCATATGTTTTGTGTTTCATTTATAAAAAAGGTTGATCTATAGGTAGGAGCAACAAATCGATTGGTGGAGGATCTCACTTCATTCAATAAAGACTATTATGGTGATTTGAAGTTGAATTCTGGAGCATATGGGAAAATATTTGAGCAGATTAAAAATGTATCTTTCTGGCTTTCAAGACACTTGGTCAAAATTTGGTCTTTCTTCATAATCTTCGATTTCTCAAGAATCTATTTCTTCCATGATTTCGTCTGTTGAGTCAGGTTTCAAAACTGAATTGGCTCTAATACTTGATTTGGCTCTTCACCTACCAACAAAATTCTCCACGTCTTACACACATCTCACATGGGGGAGAAAGGAGGTGGGTGGTTGTTCCATACGAACCACTAAAGATAAAGGTGTAGTTGTGGGAAGTGTTATGTCCAATCAAATTCCTACATCGATTCCGATGAAACCAATTGTGTCAATAGCAACAACCAATACGACAACATCAAATGCTCTTCAATTTATTGTTGATTTGTCAATGTTGCAAAAGAAAGGGACAATTATCGGTGAAGGAGGTTTAAGTAAAGATGTGACTAAACTAGAAACAACATTTGCTTCCAAAGACAAAGTGAAGAGTATATCAGTTGAATTGTCAAAGGAGGAGAAGAAGAAGTTACAAGAAATAGAAATGGAGAAACTGAGATAAATATATAGCATAATGACTCAAAGATTAAATGATCCTCCACGTTTAAACAAAGGTGATCTGAACAAAGCTTGGTGTTACGAAACCATTAAAATAGTTGTGCTTAATAAAGTCGATGAATTCATGAAGAGGAAGAAAAAGAGTTATGGTATAGAAAACTCAACTTTAATCAACTAGAATTTCCAATAAATCATTTGATGTTTGCCTAAAGTCAACTCAAGGTTGCTAAAAGTTTCAAAGATAAAGATGAGTTCCAGAAGTTGAAAATTCGTTTTCATGTAGCTCTTGGAAAAAGCGAAGAGGAGTTTTGGTCAATAGTGAAAATTATACAGGTTATATCGATTGTCCCTGATGTTCTTTTCGAGGGGTTAATGTAGAATTTTTGATAACTGATTGTTCCATCTAACAATGTGGCATTCAATTTTACAATCGCAAAATTTCCATTGATGAATCCCAATGATCTCATCACAATTTTAAATATTTTCTGTGGTGTTGATTCTTCACAAGTTGTTGAGGAAAATCACAATTCATTTGTTATTAGATATGCCCATACCAAGGATTTCATTGATTTCTACTATTTGTATTTGGTTGAAACAAATTTCAATCTTGTGATGACAATCAAAAATCTTCAATGGTACCGAAAGATCAGTTGAAGGGGAAGCTAAACATTGAGAAATTTGAAGATGAGGAAATAGTTCATCAATCCTTTGGTGTTGTTTTCCAATGAACGAATATAAGGGGAAATCTAAAGAAGTTCATTTTTTTTGCATAGATGATATTGAGAGGTACACAAACTCTTATTTTTGAAACATTTTGCTTATTTAGGTTTATGTGTTCTTACTTTCTTTATTTAATCGATTGACTTAAACATAATTCTAAAATTTTTTCATGGATGGCTTTGGGTTGTCAGTATTCCAGAGGTGATCTACAAAGAGCTCTGTTGGGAGTTCTTTACAACAGTTTTCTTCGACAAGGTGTAGATGAACTGGACTAATAGATCAGTTTTCTCTTTTATCCTGGAAGGCATATGTAATGCCCTGTTTGGAATTGTTCTGTGATTCAGGATCCTTGATTGAAATTCTATGATTTGTAGGATTTGGGCCTTTAAAGGGAGCAAGGTTTGGGCTTTATTGAAAGATGTTATTGTTGTTAATGGGATCAAGGCCTATGAATCGTGTGTTTGGAACTGAGGATGGATTGTGGAAAGTTATGTGTTAGGCCGCTTGTGAGGGTTAGGGTTTTAATTTGCACATGTGGTGAGAAAAACATTATTTATATATAAGTGTAGAGCTCTTCAAGAACTTTTCGTTGATATAAAGAACATTGAATTCGGAGTTGAAACGAAGAAGTTATGACTGTTTGAAGTTGGAAAGGATTTTGGGGAAAACTGAGCTCACAAGGTGAGTAGTTGAAGCTCATGATGTGAGAAGTAATTAAACATAAATGTTGATTTAAACTGTGCTCATGACGAGAGCATTAGGAGCTCACACCAGGAGAACTGTCCAGCCCAAGGCCACGAGTTTTAGGATTTTCAACTTATATAAGGGTTAGTTCCGTGTTTTTAGGGAATTTTATGAGCCTCCATCATATCTAGATCACATTGAGAGAAACCCTAATATAACTTTCACCATTTTGAGTCTCCCTTGTCCTATTCCATCCATTTCTGAAGATTTTGGTGATTCGAAGAAGAAAAAGATATTCTTGCTACTTAGATCCAATAAGCAAGTCCCCTCACCACCTTAAATATGATAAATTGGACCAGGATTAGTCCTTAAGTTCCAACCTTTATGTGTTATTCTTCTAGATCTACACTTTTATGCCTTTTTCTTCATGTTGGAGGTGTATTGAGTGGTTGGATTCCATAAAGGTGGCAACTTTATGGATCCATGAGGTCCTTTTGAGGTTTGGTGTGCTAGATCTATAGTTTGATTGATTTTTGATCCTACACATGAGATTTGGATCTAATTTTCACCATTTTGACCTAATCAAGTTCAAGACATGCGTGTCCATAAAGCAAAGATTTTTATGTTGCTTTTGGTGTATGAAAGACCTATAGAAAGTTAGAATGGACGACTTAATGGATTAAGGAGTCAAAACATTATGATTAAGTATAAAATAGGGAGTGTAACGATGTGAGAGTGGTTTTTACATGATCGTGTCGATTGTCTGAGCTGACTATATGACCAAGGAAGGTTCACGTCGTGAGGTCTGCTGATTGAGTTATGCGAGACCGAGTTGACTGATTTGAAGCGATTTGAGTTGGAATTTGGCTGAGTGCATTCTCACGACGTGACCATGGACTAGTCACGACGTGAGTGTCAACTGATGGAAATGTTGACTTTGAGCGTTGACTTTGAGTGTTGAATTTTGGTGGAGTTGACTTTTTGTCAAATTGCTAGTTTTAGAAGGTGGACTAAGGCCATACCTTGTATGGTTTGTTAGGAGGTGTATGGCACCCGTCGTTGGCTGTGAGTTGTTAGCTGTGGATTTTGTCGGTAATGTGAGTTTCCTTCACTGTATATGTGGGTCGAAGGCACCAATGCCAGCTCCCTAGTTCATGATATAACATGTTGATTATCTTTGTGACAACTATCAGTTATACCTGTATTTGCTTGATGACTCTGTGATTCTTTGTTATGATATTATTTAGTAGTGGTACGAGCTGAAATAGACTCGGTATCCGATTAAAATAAACCGAAGGGGACTGCAAGCACCCATATATGCTTGACAGTAACCAGTTGAAATAGATCGAAGGGGATTGTAAGTTCCCATATATACTTGATTGTATATGGTTGAAATAGTCTGATGGGGGATTGGAAGCACCCAAATATGTTTGGCTATATGTTTGTCTGGTGTATGGTACTTTGGGGAACTCAATAATCTTTGTGCTTACAATTTTCAGTTTATGTTTAAGGTACTTCTTTTTCGAAGGGGAAGAGCACGAGATGATTGCGGTGCATACACCACATCGCTACAAATTTTATATTACTCTGATATATTTGGATGTTACTGATACACTTTGATTTACTATGGATTTGATGATGTTGTTTTGGATAATTGGTTTATTAATTCAAAAATTGAAATTTTTAGTCTTAAATGTTGGGACGTTACAAGTTGGTATCAAAGCCTCGGTTTGAGCGATTCGGGTATACTCTTGGGTGTTCCTGAACTCAAACTGAGGATTTGATAAAATTTCTAAAAATATATTTTTTTTTTCTAAAAAGGTTTTATAAAGAAAAGGGGTTGTGATGCATGCAATTAGCCGAACTTAAGTAAGTTTTCCCAAAATACCCAAGCATGTTTTATGATATGATTTGATTTTTGAATCTATGAATCGCATGCTAGATATGGTTAAAGATCTGCTTAGTATTTTCATGATAGAATGCTAGGATATATGCCTTTATATGATTTTATATGAGCTTGTAGACTTGTATGCTAGTACCGATCATTTAGTGATAGGATGACCTGTTTAGGTTATGCTTGTTCCGATTACTCGATGCTCGAATGTTGCTTGTTTTGTGCTTTTAGGAGTTTCCATTAACCTCAGCTAACTAGTAAGAAAGTATATTAAGTTACATATTGTTGATACTAGATAATTGTAGAAGGTTAGGTTTTAACTCTATTGTGCAACTCTTCTTTGATTCTAATCGTTGTAGTAAGAGACCTTTCATTCGAAGAATTATCCAGTGTCGGCGATATGTAATTGTATTCATGAGCTATTTATAGGATGTTAGGGCGAGTTCCTTATGCAACTGATGACGGGGAGTAGTGTGGTGGTTGTCCCAGGTACATCGGTTTTTTTCAGGGTTTTGGCCTAGGTGGGTCGAGTTGCTTATCGCTTGGATCTCTCGAGTTGTTTAGTTAGATCCATAGCATGTTTCATTTCTCTTAGTTGCGGAAATGTTTAGTGGATATTGGCCTAATATATGATGCCTTTTAGCCTAAGAGGAATTGGATGTTATGCAAGATTTGAAATACTTCTCATTAGGAAGTGAGATTGAGATGTCCTCTGTTTGGCTGTGACTTGGATTGTTGTTGAATGAATGTTTCTTGCTTTGTGCTTTATAGTACTCATGATGATGTGAGTTAACTTTTAAGTGAATATGTTAAGTCACATGTGGCATAGGTTAAATAATCTCAGAGTGATGGATTTGACCCTATTACACAACTCTCATTTGAGTCTAACCATTGTAGGGATGAGTCTTTCACTCAAAGGATTATCTAAGCTTTGATGCATGTGATTATATTCATGAAGTAGTTAACTGTCATTATTAGGAGTTCTTCAGTAGCTGCTGGTAGGGTGAGGTCGGGAACCTATGAGAGCCTAGGATGTGCTGTAGTGGATTGGCCTATGTTGTTTAGCGATGAGTATTTATTTGAGAATGGGTGTATAAGAATGGACATGATAGATGCGGACATGAGTGGTTACTTAGAGGACCTGAGATGATTCTTGAGGAAAGTATGGATAGGTGTGCAGGTTAGTATTGGGCCCATACTACTGGAAGCACAGGATCCATACTTGACTTGAGGAAAATTTAGGGGATTGTAAGGATCTGGTTAAGGAAATGTGGCATGGTTTGGCACAATGATTCATTGTGGTGTGTTTACGCCTTTATCGGTTTATCGGGTATGATCGTCTAGGTTAAGGATGGGTCAGATGATTGTTTGGGCCTTAGTGGCCATGTTTGTTGGGGTTTAACGATATAGAAACATGGAAGGTAGTTGATTCCAAGGTCTAGAGGGCATTGCTCAAGTAGTCACAGTTGAGTTGCGGGTATGAAGAAGGAAGCGAGTGTGATGAACGGCTCGACGATTGAAGCTGAAGATTATATGATTGGCAGATGGATTGGAATGGCACTATCATCAACAACGGTTATATACTTCCAACTTTCCACAATCGGAGGATAAAAAGAGTGGTCATATGATTTTCAAGGTTAGGGTGTAGTGCCTACATGAGTCTAGAAGATTGTGGCTTTCTTGTCGATGGGTATTGCAATGTAAGA